TTGTAACTAGTATTCTTTTCTTTCTCAGATAAAGCCAGTAATAAAAGATCTCAAGCAGGGAAAGTAATTTTTAATAATTAAAAAGAAACCCTAACAGAGTTAATGATTTTTCATTAATTTAAGGTGGTTTATTTTTAAAGGAATTTAGAAGCTTGATGAGAGCTTTAACCCAAGCTTCCAGTTTCACACAAACAATCTTAGGTGTGATCTTACTATTAACTAACTCCACACGTACAAAGAATTTCCTCAAGCTTATACAGCAATAAATTCTGCCAGCCCATTCCCTGATTCCCAAATATTTAAGTCTGGTTACCAAATATTTGATAAAATTTAGGATACATTTGAAAATCCGAATCTCTGAGAAGTTCTACAAGACTGAAATTTCGTTGAGTGGGAGAAAAGGAAATGAACTTGAGAATTTAAAAGTACAAAATAAGTGGCAAAGAATAGAAAAAATGTTAACACTATAACAATAACTCCTAACAAAAAGAGGTGTTAAACTGTCGATTTAAAATTTTGAGTGACCAAACTGATAAATTATTTTGAGACTTATGTGTACAGAAAAGTATATCATTTTTTAAACATGGTATGTACACACTAAATATTAACTATGGTTATTGTCAAAGATTTTTATTCTGTTTCTATTTCTAGGTGATCGTCATCTAGTCTCACTCCAACAAACTGGGAAGGATGTGATGAGCAGGTTTCTTACATTCTGGTGTCTGTTTCTTCATGTTTATTTTAAGTGCTAACCTGAGACTCTAGGATATTTTTTAAAAAAGTTTAAAGAGTGGGTTTTTTTTTGTTTGTTTTTTTGCATGGTACAATTGCTTTGGTTTTGCTTTTGAATTTTGTAGATGTATTTTCCTGTAACATCAATGTTTAATTCATTCAGCATTCTAGGAAATATATTGCTTCCCTGTTTAACCAAAACAACTGAAGATGTTGCAGTGTTTGGTCAGAGTAACAAAGGAGTCTTTCAAATATAAAGAGAGCAGGTACTGTGCTCTTGAAAGTCTTCCTGCCTTCCACTTGTTCCTTTCAACAGCATCCTTGCCTGTCCAGAGCAGGTACTGTGCTCTTGAAAGTCCCCTGTCCTACCTATTTCCTTCACCTGGATTCCCCTCCATGTCTTAGCATAAGCTTTACTTACCCTGGAAAGGCTTTCCTGACTGACTCAGGCCAGCTCTCAAGCCTTCTTATGTTTCTGTAGTCCCTGAAATACTTCCCTGTTGCACTTATCAAAGTGACTGTCAGAGCCTATTACTTCCCCATCCTGCTAGGTCAGGCACCCAAGCGTGGGCTCTGGACACATGGCAGAGATCAGACAGGGCCTCCATCCTGCCCTCAGGGTGCCTGGCTTACCTTGCATTTCATTGTGTTAGTAAGAAGTTTTAAAATAAGAATTAAGTGAAGCATGCATGTGTCTCTAAAGATGTGGGTTTGAGCCCCTACCTAAACCACTTGCTTTTCATGTTTTACAGTCTGAACTCTGCCACCACTTTAATAATAAGTGTTACTCACAAGACAAGTAGAAAGCTCTAATTAGTTACTTCTTGTGTAGAAATCCACCAGAACTTGACAGATTCATGGTAAGATGTATAACTATATAGTAATGTCATATATGAAATCAGTACATGCTTTAATAATAAATGGGACATTCAGAAACATTGAAAAACAAAAATTTAAAATACCATCAAGTGATGGGAGATAATCTTAGAGCTCATTAAAAACTCTTTCTCTGTGGTAGAAACTACTATTACTCCAATTTTCACAGGTAAGAACATGAAAGCTTAAGTCAGGTTACTGCCATTCTCAGGACCACTGGCCTAGTTAGTGGCAGAACTGGAACTTGTACCCAGGTCTGTCTGACCCCAGTCTAGGCTCACAGTTGCCAGACTAAATGCTGCAAAACACTTTCCAAAAATACATATTACTAAAACAGTTTATCTCTGTTCCATTGCTTCCTCATTGTTAAAAAAAATGCTTTTTAAGCAATCAGCTGGCATTTAATTTTATATTGTATTCTATGTAGCATCCAGTAAGGTATGTAATTGGTACAGTCACTGAAAATAAAGATTTCATTGGCAACACTGAATGTTCATTGTGTCTTTTTAAAAAAAAACAAAATAACAGCTGACAACTATAGACTAAAGTAGCTGACTTCTTTTGGTTTTTAAATAACTAAACATAATGGTTTCTATACGTATGAAACTACTAAGACATTTGGCCTTATCCTATTACAATCTAAACCTATTGTGTTCTTTCATAAAGGAAAGAAATTGTTTCCCTTACATTTAATTTAATCATCAGAGCACTGTTTCTTTAACCATCAGGAAGCATGCTTGGAAAGGCAATACAGCAGGAACTCTAAAGGAGTATTTCCCATGAACACCCTCCACTGAATCTAATACTCAAAATTTAGTAAATATGACACTATGACAGAACGTGTGTCCCTGTGCATGTGTGCACATGTACATTGAGTGTGTGTGTATACCGGGTGAGGTGACTCGGGGCACAGGTTAAAAACATTTTCACACTATTTCTGCATTATTATCCATAGAATTGTCTTCCAAAATCACTACTTTAGAAAACCAACTGTCAAAAAATGTTTAAAAGGGAAAAGGATAGGAAAGAACAGTTTTTTTTAAAAACTGTACCAAATGCATTGGATAGGTACTAAAAAGGAACTGTCACCTTGAATATAATGGCTATGATTACATTTGTGTATTGGTACTATAGGTTATTACTGCAGAGTTTTGACAGCACTATCAAATACTTTTTCTCTTTTTCTTCCAACACTCCCCCCACTCCCATAGTGCCAAACCTCAAGAGTTTACAGTAGCATTCAAAGACTTTCAGAAGATAGAATCTGGGAAAATAGGGTGCTGGTGATAAAATCCACCAGTGGATTTTATTAGTGGCAAAGAAGGCTGCTATTATGTCTGAATAGGATGTTCTATTTCTAAACAAGAAAAAATTTTTCAATGGGCATCCTGTAAACAGCTCATTACAAACAAATTATGGCAATTGGTTTTGTCCCTAATGGGCCAAGTATACCCACCAACTCTAAACCTTCTCCATCTGTGCAATGAATTTCTAGGTAGATACCAAGACACACTTGCCACCTTTATCATACCAGCCCAAAGACCAGAAAATACTCAGAAATATTGTTTCCAAGAATTTTGGTGTTTTAAATTGTCAGGTTTTCATCACTCTCCTCACTGTTACCTTGAAGATCACATTCAAATGTACTTTTTATTGGATAGGCACCCATTCTGGAAAACAAACATTTTAGACAGAATCTTAACAGCTCTAATTTTGCCAAACTCATCATTGCTGGTCTTTCTTGCCAGCAATGGCAAGAAAGGCAAAGGCAAAGGCTGGGGACCTTGCCTTTTGTGACTTTTCAGAGGCATATCCCTGCTTCTCAGTGCTTACATTTCAGAGAGAAACAGCCCAAGGTCACTTCAAGGTCACCAGCCTGTCCTTCTGAGCCTGGCACCTGTGACAGTTCCCAGAGTGGCTCTTCCAGGGCTGAGAAGCCGTCACCCACTCATCTGGGAAAACAGGTTCTGGATAAAAAGCACTAGTTATTTTTTAAAACACTAACCTGCATTGTCCTGGGAGTCATCAAACTCCACGTTAAAAGCGTGACCATTGTTGATAATTCTCCTAGATGTTGCCCCCTCGTAGGAAACACGCAGAGGCTTCAGCTCTGGATCATGAAGGGCTGCTTTGGTGTCTATATCAATAGGGGACTGGCGGTTGCCCTTGGCAATGGGAAAGTCCTTGTACCAGTGCTCAGGTCCTAGGTTGAGAAGGGAGAGAAGGGATGTGTGAGGCCCCCAGTGTGGGGACAGACACACCCACACTCCTAAAAAGGGCAGTAATGCTCAGTTCCCAGTTTGGCGGTGCCACTGAGTAACCGCTGGGAAAACACTGTGCCTCCGTTTCCCTATTTATGGGTTAATAATATCATCTACCTGTAGAGAGATTGTTGTGAGAATGGACATCCGTACGTGGAAAGCTTTTAAACAGTGAGAGCCATGCAACTATTAGCTATGTTCACACTTGTTTTACTGAAATGCAGCAACAGGCAGGCACTAAGGACAAGCTGGTGGCTGGGATTTAGGATGTGTGAGCTCACTTCAGACACCTAGCAGTCCCGAACTGCAATCCTTCTGACTTGGTGCTTGGCCCAGGCCTGGAGCTCCCTTAACAGCCATGATCCCCAAAGCTCCAAACTCCCAAAGACTCATCTTGCTGTTTTGTCTGCTGGCTCACAGAAACTGCGTCCGCGGCTGGTAAAACCCAGATCCTGATGATCCGCTAACATTAGGGTACAGAGATAAAGGGTAAACTCAGATCGGCGCAATGGGTTCTAACCAGCCCCCCGAAATCCCCGGGGACAGGTGGTGCCCAGAGCTTTAGCTACAGGTAGCGCTGAGGATGGGGGTTGGGGGTGGGTAAGTTTTGGGTCAAGGGGACGAGGAGTCCCTAATTTCTCTGTCATCAACGCCTAACGTTTTCAGTTACAACCTGTCCTCGCTTTTCTTAGGTTCAGGTAGGACGGTCCCCGGATCGGGACCCAGGAGGGACTGTCTCAGCGTCTCGCTCTAAGGCTGCACCCCCCACCTCCGCCCGCGCCTTGTGCGCGTCGACTGCGGGGATAACGAGCCTGAGACCAAACCGGGGCAGCGGGCGCCCCGTGCATGGTGCCCAGGCTGGGCTGGGACACACTGGGCGCCCCGCGCCGGGGCACCTGGGCAGCGCGGTCTGGGCAGCGCGGTCTGGGCAGTTGTAGGGCCTGGCCAGGATCTCGTGTACTCACCGTTGTCGGGGCCGTATCCCCAGTGGTGGGACATGGTGGTGTGGCGGGTCGGGCAGGGCAGGAGTTGGAGCGGGTCCAGCAGGAGCTGCTAAAGGCCGGCACTGTGTGTTCGCAGTCGCGGTCAATGACTTTTATAGGCTCCCGCCAACTTTGTGCCGGGGGTGGTCCGGGGAGGGGGCCGGGAGGACCCGGTGGCGGGGAGGTGAGGGCGGACGTGCAGTTCCGGCGCACGGGGCGGGCGGGGCGGGCGGGGACAGTGCCCTTTGGTTGCGCTCGCTGCGCTGGACTCACTTCTCCCGTGGCCGCGCCCGGGTCCTTGGGCTGCACAGGCTCCGAGCTCCGGGTCTTGCGGGGCTGCGGGCTCCGACGCTCACCCTCCCTCCCCGGCGCTGAGTCCAGTGGCGGCGCCCACTGTGCGGCCCCGGGCCCCGCGCCTTTCCACCCCGGCTCATTGTGACTGGTATTCCTGGCAACGAGCCTAGTGGACCCCACCCGCACTGGGGTCTCAGCCTCTAGAGCCACCCTCTTTGTCCCCACCTCAGCTGGGAAGCTCCTTCCGGAGCTGTGACCTTGGGACTACAGGGATGCGTTCCCGGAGTCTGGATGCTGAGAGCCCGGCGCCCCCCGCTGGCCGGCTGCGGAAGGAAACCCAGGAAGGCCCAGGGGTGATGGACACCCACGTGTCAGGGATGTGAATACAGAGCTCTGCATGGCAGCCCTAGCAAACGCACTGAGCATTATTAGGGGTTCCTACCACCCTCCCGCCTTACTACTGAAGCGGCCAGAGACAGCACTAATTCCGCGTCCAACAAGCAGATGAAGTTACCTGCCCTTGGTAAATTGCTTTTCAGACTTTTAACTATGTAGTAGTTTCTAAAGGTGCGTTAGCTAGAAACATTTAAACGTTCTATAATTAAATCTACTGAGTTTTTAAGAGAAGTTGAAGAACTGAAATATTGTTACCCAGTTTCAAGTTTAATCAGAACAGGAATGGAAAGATAAGTGGGAAAATGTCACTAGAAAAAAATGAAACTTATGCATTTTAAATATTTTATGTTCCACGAAGCTCCCAAATGTGGCAGCAAGAAATAGTACAATTTAATAAGAAGGAAAGTCCACCTGGTCTTAGAGCACCGATTCTCAGCTGGAGGCAATTTTGCCCCACAAAGAATGTGGATAATGTCTGGAGACATTTGGTTGTCACATCTAGGGGGGTGTGTGCTGCTGGTCCAGGGTGCTGCTGAACACCCAGCAATGCACAGGACAGTCCTTCAAACAAAGTATTCAATCCAAAATCAAGACATCAAGATCAAAATCCCATTTAAGAATATTGTTCTATAAGGATGCCTTTGTAAAAAGTCTGAAAAAAGTTACCTATGTGTCAGCTCACATATGAGCCTTAGGACGGTGCATTTCCCAGGGTATACCCTCAGGCATCTTTTGTTGGTTGAATTCAATAGAAAAGCATAAAATGGCACCTCTGCATCTTAAGATTGCCATGTGTTTGTGCACACTTCCCATGCTGGCCTTCCTTCTGGAATCATCACAATTTCCTTAATTTAGTAGTAACTTCATCACATGATGAAACTTCTCTTTTGCTTATAAATTACCACCATGCATAGGGAATTTTTTACTCCCTTTTAGAAACAAGATCAACTGAGCTCTTTTCCATGCAAGGAAAAATGTGGGCATTAGAAGTAAATGTTTCCTCCTGATCAAGGAAAAGAGTCAGGATTTGCCAATGTCATACCTGAGAGGCAAAACAACCTTTCCCTCCCCAACTTAGGTTCTTCTGGATCCACTGTCAGTGAGTCCCTGCTTAGTAAGACAGTGAATAAACAGTGGCCCATGCTGTGAAGGACCAATAGAACAGAACCAAGACTACCAACCGCAGGGGAACCTTGTAGCCTGGTCTTGTTAGCAGAAGGCTCACCCTTTGGGGTTCAGGTTATGGACACTCTCCTCCAGCAGGAAGAAGATAAATGTACTTCTACTTACAGATTTTTTTATCCTCTAAATATGTTTACTTATTTATATTTTGTATGTATATATATATGTATACACATATACATATAGAGGCATAGGTATGCCTATATACATATACACACACATGCATACATACTGGTATAGCACTGTGTGTCTGTCATTTCTTTTTAAGCCCTATAATAGGGGTTCATGTTCTAACCCTGTGCCGTAGTAGCCTGCATCATCCACAGAGTGTGGAGTCATTGTTGGCCAAGGAGCACAAGAGACCCGAGCCACGTTTTGCAGGTTGCTTGTGCCCTTGGCTCTGCTATCTGTTCCTTCTTCCCTATGGCACTGATATCACCATTTACCATGTACTCATGCCCAGTGTGCTGGGCACCAAAGTCATGCCTGATAAGCCCTTCCCTCTGGGCGTGACTGCCATGTTTCCTGCAATTTCTCTAGAGTAATATGTAGAAGTCACCCTTTTCTATGTCTTCTTCTCCTTGATATTTCTAAGTAGTTCCTTGACTTTGTTCTATTTGTTCATACTCTACACATAAACACCTTTGAAAAATATGAAATCCTCTCAATAAGAGGGTTTTAAAGTCACTTGTGTGTACTTCTAAAGTTATATATCAAAGTTATATATATAAAGTTATATATTTATATACAGAATGCTTTTGCCCAACTAAGAACTCTACTCTCTTAGTAAGTTGCAGACTTTCTTTTTGACATCTTGTGGTTATTTTCAAACTCCTCTGGAACATGGTCCCCCTCTGGGGGCTTAATCAATGTTTCATATCAATTAAGTTTCTCTGCACAAGAGGCTTAGTACACCTTATCATCTTGAAAACAAGCTCTTTGTTAGAGAAAACAAATTAAAAGGAAGAAATTAGACCTCCTCTGATTAAATATTAAAATACTTGTTTAAATTTTTAAAAATTATAATAGGCATGCAGTTAATGTAATTAAGTTATGAGGTGAGCCACAAAATAACATTCCCACCACCCAAAATAAACCCTGAGTTTTATTTCTGGTAAATTCACTGTTTGAGTGAAATGTTTTTTTTACCCCCTAAGTAATTCTCAACTATATATGATAAATAAGCTCTAGGTAGTATTTACAAGTGCACAAGTACATATGTGGCATATAGTCTGTGTTGTTTGTGGAGGTCAGGAATTTACCTGAATTGGCTATCTGGTTGGTTGGGGTGGGGAGGAATGTGTTAGTTGAAAATACTTATTGAATTTTCAAAGTCATTCTACTTTGCATATCTCTGGCCATGACAAGACTTTGAGTTAGGAAGACTTATCTGTATTACCTGTGATCAATTACTGTGGGATCTTCAGACGCAAAGCTGAGTACATTGAGAGCAAAAGTCACAAGTGACAAAACTGAGGAAAAAGTACCCAAGTTCAAGGTCAGGGATAAACTGCCAATTACTGCCACCAGAGTCTAGTGTCATAGGCTCATTGCCAACCTGCCTCTTCGATTTGCAAGTAGAAGCACAGGTGCTAAAGGAGATAAATTTCTGGGTAGAGGATGTCTTTTATAGATTTTTAAAGCCTGAGTCTTCTATCCTAAGTTAAATGTATTTTTAAAATTTAAATTTGTAAATGGCAGGATTTGGGTCTATATTAAGCTATTCTCTTCTACCATCCACAGTCTCTTTACAGAGAAGCCTAGGTGGTAGCAGTAGAAACCCCTGGGATCGCTGCTCCAAGAACTCTTGGGATGTCCGCTTCTGACTTTCCTGGGTGGGGAGAGAGCTTATACCAGCTCATAGTCTTAGAGTGCCACTCGGCACTTTAGGATCCTCATTGATTTATCTATCCATCCGTCATCCATCCATCCTTTCCTTCCTTCCTTCATCCATCTGTCCATCTATCTGCACATTCCTCCTTCAATTCAACAAATACTTTTTGAGCACTGACTAGGTTTCAGATGCTATGTTAGGTACTGGAGCCTAACAAGACAGGTGGAGGGTAGAGTCCTTACCTTCTTAAAGCCATCTGACCCTCATTGCTCACTTCTCTCTCTCACACACACATCAACTCACATCACAGGTAGAATTTAAAAGTATTATTCTTATTTCTAAAATTGGTTTCCAGTGCAATAACCCAATTTTATCTCTTCACTGAAGAGTAGCCTCTTTATGACTAACTTTTTACCTGCACACTTCTTGCTTAGTTAGATCTTAGTTCTTCCCAGGATGGGCCCTGCTTTCTGCCTCCTGTTTGGCTTGCACAATCTCCCTATCTAGACAAGCCCTCTCCTTGCACCCTGATCACTCCACGTGTCCTAGTGTCTGCCTCAAGTATCCCATCAAGCCATTCACACCCGAGAGCAGAAGTGTGAATTCTATGAGTCAAGGTTGCATAGTTTTCAAACACTGCATTTCTAATATACTTTAATGGGAGTTAAGTGTCCTTGGAGGAAAGAAGCCCCTTGAACAAATGTGTTAGGAACCATTCAAATTTTAAATGAGTTCAGTGAGTATGATAGAAATTTATAGACATGTTGAAACAGAGAATATGAACATTTAATAACCAAAATATTTTTGTTGAGCTCCTAGGCCCCTCCTCTACCTGGGGAAAATTTAAAAACAAGGGAGCATCTGATTGTTTACTGCTCAGAGTCAAGTCTCATGGCTAAAATTAGCTCTTAAATCACTGGATTTTATGCTGCTGCATTCAGGGGTCCCTTGTGACCACACTCTTAGAGTCCTTAGACTCGCTGTCTCCCCTGCTGATTACCTGTGATTATTACCTGGTCAAGTTGTCAGCTGGCTGCCACTAAGCACCTTCAAATTCAAACAAATTTATTAGCTCCCAGTCTTCCCCCGATCCTGGATTTTATGCCTGGTCTTTGTGTCTGTGTGTGTGCAATGGGATTGAGTCATCTCCAAAAGTATAAACTCATCTCTCAGGTTGATGTGTTTGTCTCACACAGGATTCCGATTCTTTGATGTGCCCAGAGAAGCCTCAAGTTAATTTCATGGCAGGAGACCTGCCATAGTTATGATGATTATAACTTTCTACTTTGTGCAGGGCACCAAAGTTCTGCCCAGTCAACAATGAAGTCATTAAAACAGAAGTCACACCTGTCATCTCACCTCTATTCTAGGTTTATTTTCTGGGTGTTTTGTCCACTGTACATGTGCTCAGGTAAGGTGTTGACTCTGGGCAGAACCTTCCTCAGGAAGATCTTCCAGTCTTCCCTGGGCCACCCCTCTAACATTGTGCTGGTTTCTGGTTTGGGCACATTATATGGGACAAGTCATTGGCTTATTTTTAAATGACAAGCACAGAAAGGAGTCCATTAGGAAAGCTTGTTATAGTAACTCCTACAGTATTATCTAAATTGACAACATGAGGGTTTATGATGTTATTAACAGATACATAAGGAAAGAAAATATCTTAGGTATTGAATGAACCATTATAACTTTTCTCAGTTGAAGTACAATCAATGTACAAAAGATCCTTGTTCACTCCTACTGAGTTTATGATCTGCTAGAGTAACTAGTCTAAGAGTTTTGTATTAATTTACTTAACTCGTTTAATACTTAAAACAACCCTCTGGACAGGTAATACATCCTTCTTATTCACAGATGGGGAAACTGAGACATGGGGAAATGAATACGCCTGAGGATGCACATTTAATGAATGTGCATGAGAGTTGAGCCCAGGGTTCTGAACAGGGGCTGTAGAACATTTCTTTCTCATGCATTTAAGTTTTAGTTTAATAATTACTATCATTGAATCTCTCAGAACTCATTTTTGACTATTAAAATTCTTCAAAATATGTAACAATACCTTACCACCTTTTCTTTGTAGATAGATATAATGGCTAAGTATTTGAGAAGAGTAGATAAGGTATTCAGGAATAGAACAACAAACCCCATAGCTCTAAAACTAACAGCAATAAAACAGCATGACTTTTTATTTCAGGCATTTTTGTAGTTATTGTGCTGCCATCTAGTGACCCAAATAAAAATAACTTGCAAACATGGTCTTGCAGTCTCACTTGCTTTTTAAATCCTTTTTTTTTTATTGTGTCAAAAAGTTTATTCTTTTTTTTTTAATTTTTTTATTGATTATGCTGTTACAGTTGTTCTATTCCCCCTTTATTCCCCCCCCCCCTACCCCTCATCCCCACCATTACCCCCCTTTAGTTTATGACCATGTGTCTCAAGTCCTTTAGATTCTATATTTCCCATGCTATTCTTGCCCCCCCATCTATTTTCTATCTACTGTCTATGCTACTTATTTTCTGTACCTTCTCCCCCCTTCTCCTCCTCCCACTCCCCTGTTGCTAACCCTCCTTGAGATCTTCATTTCTATCTTTAAGTGCTGCCTTAGGTTAGTTTTTAAAAATAATTAAATTTGCATATATTAAATATGAAAAAATGTATCATTCTTTTTTCTTACCATTCTCACTTACTCTTCCTCTGCTACAATAATAAAATATGCTCATTCTAGAATTCCTCTTTTATACCAAATAAACAGATAATAGAAGAGAAACTGACATATAATTAATTTTTCTATGTGTAGTTTTGAGCCATATGAATTTCTTTTAGATAAATTTTATTTCTTTCCATTTTTACTTGAATAATAGGCATAATGATTTTTCACACGCATTCCAGCTTGTTTAGAGTTAATTCCAACTATTTAGTTAGATAAGGAATCACAGGTAGACCCTGAAACCTGCAGTCTTACATGTTCTGCATAGAACACATTCTGATCATCTGCACAAACACAAAGAATTTTGGATAAGTGGTCCTGGAGAGTCACTTATCACTTCATAAATATATCATCTCCCCATTAAAAGTTGCACCCTGGAAACTAGCAGTGCTCAAATTCAACAAATTGTTAATTCTGATGGCCTACTCACAGACTTCTAAGGATATAATCATCTAAATATTATGACACAGTTCCAATTAGTTTCTGTCCTATGTTGAAATTTAAAAATACCTGCAGTGATTCTACTCTGCAGAACAGAAGGTGACCGATGCAGACACCTGGTCATCCCAGAAGCTCCTAGCCTCAATTTCCTGGGCGCTGTGTGCATCTGAAATACCATTGTTTGGAAGCCTGCACACAACCAGGAAAATTGCCCCCACTGAATGAGGACAAAGTGTGGCCTCAGCATTTGAATGGATACTTTATATAATATATAGCATGTAGTATATAATATACAGCATAAGAATACTGTATTCCAAAGGACTCAGCAGTTTGAGCCCAGGAAGTAGTTGGGAAGAAGTTTTGACAGTTGTGGGCATTTAGTAATGACCCACACTAATGGGGGATAATGTTTTACTGGAAAGCTAATGCCTGAACCTAAAGAAATCATTTTCCAAAAAGAACTAAACTAAGATGAGCAAAACCAGTAAGTTTCAATCATGTCAAGCAATATTTTGTTCAAGAAGGTATTTGTCCTGGGTTCATCATTTACTCACTGAATATTTATTGAATGTGTACTAAGTCCAAGGCACAGTACTAGAGAATAAGGGGAATGTCAGTGTCCAGACTCATATCTATACCTGATGGAGCTCATGGACCAGGGAGATGGCTACCCTGAACAGATTTTTCTCTTAAAACTATTCTAGCCTGTGGAGCCTGCACAATTGAACCTTTCTGGCTGACACTATGTTTGTGTCTTACATGGGGTATATGCTGGACATATAGCACTCCAGCATGACTATGAAAAGACTACTTGAAAGAGAATCAGCTGTGTATCACCACCAATTAATGAAAGCATCACACCTCCTAATTTCAAGAGATTTAATTAACACATCCAGTTCTCACCGACCAATCTATTTTAGTTTCACCAAAAAGATGATCTATTAAATTACTTTCAACTCCCAGGACTCTTGTCACCTGACTTCCAGCCTCACAGGACTCTCCTGACCCAATGCCACTTCATTCTGCAGAGTAACAAGTTGCTGCTGTTTTTTAAAGTAAGTTAGCATACCAGCCAGTGAGGTGATGAAACACATATCAAAGCCACTAACCGCGATGTTAGACTTCATGTCTAAAGACAGTAAATGTTCTGAAGGTTGAAGTGGATGGTCTTTTGATGTGTTTGGACCAGGGTTATTCCCTGTCCTTCCAGAGCACCTGTGATATGAATCTCAAATCCTAAACCGGCTTTCAGGATGGAGACTACTGTGCACTCTCAGATTCATGGCCACATGTCCCATTTTTTGTCTGCAACTTCCTTGGAAGGCTTCCACCAACTGCCTTCACTGGTCTGAGGGGGAGGTGTCATCCAATTCAACTCAGACTTTGGGTTCATTATTGTCACCTCTCAGTTATCAACACAGATGTACAAAGTTTGCCATTCTTAGTTTTACTCTGCCTTGTCATGTGCTATCTCTTTTTATTTAAAAAATCACAACACTGAACTCTGCATTCAAGTCTTTATTAGTTTAGATGATCAGCCCATTTGCCTTACTATGAGTTCAGGCGTTCACTCTTGCATGCACCAGGAATTATTAACTCCACTCTCAGATTAGAAAGATAGCAGAGGAAGTTTTATTTTAATAAGCATGCAAAAATCAAAGTAGTAAAGTTAAAAATAAATGGCCCTCCTTCAGGTAAAAGAAAATATTAGGATAAAGTCAACCATACTTATGAAGAAAAAATTCAAACACCAGATCATATTTTTTTCTTAAACCCCTGGTCAGATGTATTTTCCTTTCACTGATAATCAAAACCAGGTCATTTTTACAGGATCTAGAATTTTAATACATCGTGGACCTCTTGTTGGTTTTATTTGTGTTAAGACATTTATCATCTCAATCCTTGGTGTCCATAATCAGTTATATTTGCTTATGGTTAATTGTCAGATGATTTCCATACACCTCTATACCTACATATAGCATTATTCACAATTTCATTAATATCTACAATGCACAATATGAAAATAGTGAAATTGAAGTTTTGTGAAATTTGTGATGAAAGAAAAATGGTGCCCAACAGCCCTTTTTCTGTATCTCTACTCTGTTTCATCTTCTTTGAAACCTTACTGTGAATGCTACGTTTATAAGAAAGGTGATTATTACAAATGCCAGATGTTTTCTTATTCAACCCTGTCATCAGTAACTTTGGTTTTTTGGTGATTGCATCTCTTTCATTCATTGCTCAATGTGGAAACTGAAATACACTTGGAGTAAAGAGCACCGAAAGTAGGCCAGGAACCAAGCTCTCCAGGGCAGGTTTCCCTTCCTGTGAGGGCTCATTTGAAGGAGGATCTCACCACCCTGCCCTTGATGGGCTGTGGGGGGCGCCAGTTCCCCACCAAGGGAACCGGGGGCTCGTTCTCAGCACTGGACAGGAGGCTGCGCAGCTTGGCCATCTACAAGGGGCAAGAGAAGGTGGTCAGGTCCACATTGGACCAAGTGGACATAAGTGTGTGAGACAGAGTTATGAACTGATAGTTTTTAAATAAGACAAGCAACCCACAATACATGCTCCCCTTGTTCAGTACAGAGTTACCAGAAGACCCATTCCTGGTGATATAGACCTTTTATTTTTATGTAAAAAGACTTTTTTAAATACAGGACTGCCATGCCCTCCTGAATTGCCCTGCCATGCCCTCCAGCCTTTCCTCCTGAATTCTGAAACAATTCTTTTCATCTGACTGTTCAATGTGGAGTATATACCTCATATAGGAGGGCGGACAGTGTTGGTGCAAATAATACATGTAAGTAAATGGCATTCACTGGTTATGTTTTAAAGGGCAGTAAGAAATGACAGTCATGCCACATTTTAAATTTGCAGATGATAGATGATCTTAAGGGAAAAGAATTTAGGAAATTCTTACCAGTAATGCTATATTTCTGCATAAAAACACTTTCAGCTTTTCTCCTTAAGATAATTTCATTTCTCTTTTAAAATATTTATACCGGTGAACCTAATGGTTAAACCTGGTTTGATGATAAAAATGACCATGTGTATATGAGTCCACAAGTCGTAGAAATAAAGAAGCATCTGTGTTAGGGACAGGGACTCTGGGAACTGAATTGACTATTAGACATTACCTACTGAGGTTCCAGTCTGTGTGCTGTCCACCTGCTTTAATCTGCTCTTCTCCATTTCCCTGCCCACTCCTTTTCTCCAAGTCTTTTCTTGAGAGTTTCTTTAATATATGTTACCAGGGCATTCTTTAGATGAATAGTAAGAAGGGAGGACTGAACAGAGAAGTCAAAGGAACTAGAAGCAGACAGACCAGAGGTAGAATCTCCATCTCTGCACTTGGTTTTATGACCATGAGCAAATTACTTACCTTCTCTGAGTTTCAGTGTACTTACCTGTAAGATTGAAGAAACAGAATACACCTCATAGAATGACAAATCTCTTTCATTGGCACCCTTCTCCCTAGGCCGGGAGTTGCCCTCCCATTTCCTAACCAGTGTTCTGTACTTGGTTGCTGCCAAATTAACAAAGACTAACTGGTTAATCAAAACCCTTAAGTGTTTCAAGAGGATAAACTTGGTCATCATTCAGCATGATAACCCCCTTGAAACAATGTGTATTATCCTGGTACCCTTAGGAAGTCAAGTTGTAGGAAGTTGAACAGGCTCACTGTAACTACCAGGGCCACTTATGAAACCTCTCATGTAGAGCTACTCTGTGAGCATCTGTGAGGCAGCTGGATACTTTCAATTTGGTATATGTTTCCATGGAGCCAGCCAGTAATGAGTCCTATGCATACCTCACCTGGTCGGAGCTCACGGTTAGAGGTTCCTTTAGCAATAGCCACACAATGCACTCCTCACAGGGTGGTGTGGTGAAGGAGCCATGATAGGTCCAGTAGTCTCTACAGGCGGGGAACAGGCAGGATGGATCAAAGTTTGTGAAGGGTGCCTCCTTGCCCTGCAGAGCAGATGGGCAGGTAAGGTAGGAAGGTGAGATAAATGGGTGCTATGAGCACTCATACCACCCTCCCCAAGGCCATCACCACAGTATTTGTCATAATATATTCAAAGGCATTAGAGAAAATGGAACTTTTAAACTAAGTGCATGTCTTTCAGATAAAGAGCGAAGGGGAAAGCATGCCTGTGTGGTCTGACTTTATCTGGGACAGTCATTGTAATATTTATTCCTTTTTAACTGTCAATAGAACTGTAATTCTATCACAACAAAAAGGAGAAACATATCTAAAACACAAAAGAAATAAATCATATCAGTAATGCTTTTGGTCTTAATGATAAAAAACTGGCTCACATTTATATTGATACTGAATATTTACTTTCTATGGTGGTAAAAAGTACTAGTATTTGATTATAACAGTCCCAAAGATAATTAAAATAAGTCTGTTAATTAGAAGAGTCTGTGGTTAAAGTGAAAAATATATAGGTGCTGCCCAAGAGAGAAAGGGCAACCTCAAGAGCCAAACATGTTACCTCTACAAATGTATATGTCCATGTGCTGTAGGTATATGTGCATGTTTGTACATATGGTATGTATGCATGTGTGTGCCTCTAGTATGTAGTGTGTGTGTGCAATATAGTGTGTATTAATGTGGTATGCACATGTATGTGGTGTGTGTGCATATACTGGTGGATGACCACTTTCATCCACTTTACTGTGAAAGTAATTATCTGACAGACTGACAGTGAGCATTAAATAAGCTTATGCATGTGAAATTGCTTTAAAAACTATAAGCACACAAATATAATGTCATGTATTTTTATATATGTGCTTAGCATATTCATCAAACTTAGTAACACACTTTAGATGAAAGAAATACACTTGAAATGTAAAAAGAAAAAATTAACAGACCTTGCTTTCTGACCTTAGAGGAAAAGTGAATATTTTTTTACCTTTGTTTTAATTTTATCCAGTGCATCAAGAATCAGCTGGAATTCGCCCTTCTCACGTCCTATCTGTAAGAAAATAGAAAAACACTAATTACATTTTTTCCTTCTCTATAATTTGGTATTCTCTTAAAAACCAGTTTTGGTCCATCTATCTGCAGCCAGTGTTTTATAAGCAAAAACATAAGTTTACATCTCTCCCTAAATTTTAGAGTACATATTTGCTGAACTAAACTTGGACTCCAAGCCTCTAAAGTACAGAACCACAAAATTACATGTTGATCTGCTTCTATGTCCTTTACCTTCTCTTCAAAGTCATTCAATTTTTTAAAAAAATAGAATTACAACTAGGATGGACTCAAGGTATCTACAATTAAACTCACTGTCTTTTCACTCAGATCTACTCCACTTCCTGTTGTGTTGAATTGAAGCAGGGAAATGACCCAGTGAATTAAGAATGTAAGACAGATTAAGTCATTTGAAAAGAAAGAAGGTAGATTTTTCACTCCTAGTTTACAATCTAGATTATGTTACCACTAAATTCTTGTGTTGATGATACTAAGTCCTCTCAAACCAATGCTGGCTCAACAACACACATATTCCCTGTGCTGTCTCAGCTGGGACCATGAGGTCAGTGGCCACACTAAACCACAGGAATGTGCAGCCAGGCCCTGGGTATCACAGCATCCCCAACAACTCCTTTGTTGGTTCATACCTATCTCCAGGGCAATGGGTATGAATAGTGGGAAAGAATAATGGGTCCTGCCCTCATCAACACCACAGTGAGTACCTTCAAAAACTTGACCTTGGCCCACCCTACCCACATGCACTCTATGGATCTACAACTTGAGAAATAAAACAAAAGGTACATTTTTAAGAGAAAGCAAACATTTTGAGCTGATCTTAACAGACATACCTTAATTAGTTAAATGAATACTGAAATTCACTTTTCTCCCCTTTAAACAAAAGGAGGGAGTGAAACTCATGCTATCCTAAGCTTGGGTAAGGAAGTCAATTTGAGAATAAATAACATATCAATTTTTACCTCACCTTCAGAAAAATGCCAACCACAGCTGTTCCATCGGGTTGCTTCAGAGCTTCTGCAAACGTATTGTACTTTGGATTCCAGTGAACCAAATGCAGCTGGAAACACAGAATGCATGTTGTAAGGTAAATTCCTAGTGGGAGGAAGCAAGCATCAAACTATTCACAAAAAACTCAATAATTATTCAGTCTAAGGTTGCCAAATGCTTTCATAGATGGTGACAAAATTCTAAATATTAACATGCAATATTTTAGTGATATTTTAATGGTTTCAAATATATATAAAATTAGGGTAAATAGATTTAGGACTTTGTAATAAACAATGAATAAAAATTGAACTTTTAACCCAAAGACTTGTTTTAGTTTTGCATAGCATTACTTTTTTTTCTGAACCAGTGAAACACAGAGCTACAAAACAGGAATCTGCTAACATCCTAAAGTCACAATTCATTAAGAAGCAGGGGAGGAAAAAAGAGGGACATGAGCATTTTTATATCTACTTCCTTTTCGCAGCCAATGATAACCAAATCCCAATTTAGAATGTAGGCACCAGTTAAATTAGTCAGAGGCCCATATTGAGCTATATAGAATGGCAAGAAAATACAATAGTTCATAGCAATTAAAACTATTCTGTTCAAAGTCAAAGTGTGAGATAACTCCATGCACAGAGGTCAAACTGCAAACCTTGGACACATTTGTAAGAAACATACAAAGCTGTTCAACAATAGAGGAAGATGTTTAGAGACATTCACCATAGTTAATCTGTCCTGCCTCTGGCTCTACAGATGAGCTGTGGAGAAATGGGATTTCCACGGGGAACTATTTAGGGTCTTCCAGAGTTGGCTTAACCAACAATTCAGCTGTCTAAGAAAGTGTGCATAGTGCTCCTAAATTCCTATGCTGACTGGAGCCCGCCTGAGGAAAGAGTAGAGTGAGAAAAATGGCATGATGCTCACCCCCTGGGCACTTGTAATCTCTTAAAGACTTGGCTTTATGGAGAGAACATGCAGGAGGTTATAGTCTTAATTCCTTGGAATTTGTTGCCTTAAGCTGAGCTACAAATCATGCTTTTTTAAATGGGTTAACTGAGACAAAGGGTAGTATTTCCTCATATTAACTTTTGTGTGTATCTAAATGTGTGAATAAATATGTGTATGTATAATCACATACACAGTTATGCACACTCTTCTTTAAGAGACAAGAAAATGAGCACTAGTCAAAATTACTGAATGCTATTTTTAAAGCACTACATTCCTTAAAAAGAAAGGCAGCTTAGGGTACTGGACAAGAGAATAAATTCAGATGCCTGTATGCATAAGGCAGAGCCCTAGGTCTAGCACTCCTTGGCTAGGTGACTTGTCTGTGCCTCGCTTTTTTCATTTATAACCTGTTTTGTAGAGTTGCTGAGAGGATCATACAAGTTAATTCTTGTAAGCACTTAGTAAGTGTTAGTTACCTTTATCTTTTCAGTCTCTTTGGGGCCCCGGTCTTTTATTTTTCTATTTGCCTGCTATTCAAGTTCTTAAAATAACCTCAAAAGCCTTCCCCCATGGTGCTGATGGCCCTGTCCTCCCTTAACTGTCTAGCCTAGAATGTTGGGCAGCTTTGGCTCCTGCTGCAATGATTACAGCTCCTTTCACAACTACAGGCTTGATGCAGAAGTGGTGGATGCAGCTTCATGGCTTTTACATTCCTCACTGTGTGAGCCCCAAAGTAAGTGACAGCTGTGCCTCCTACCTCTGCTGCATACTTGACTCCATCCACAGTGTGCTCAGAGCCGTGATCATCAGAGGAACCCCAGTGCAGGTGGAACTGGCGGAGCCGGTAGGGTCCACTGAGAGGACCACCCCTCAGCACTGTGATTCAGAGAAGATGGTTCAACAGTGAACTCACCCCCCTTCCTGATCCCCACTTTAAACATGTGCTCTGATGGACAAGGCATGATGGGCATATGGGTGGGCCACACATTGGCCCCTTTCTCACAAAAGAAAGTTTGGGGATACCTCAAAGTCAGTGGTCTCTCCCTTATGTCTTATTTGTTTGCTCATTTTATTATTTTAAAATGTCAATTTAACATTATGAAAATAAAAGTAATATAACAAATGAACAGTAAAGATATAGAAAACTAAATCGTGGGTTGGTCACATGGTGCAGTGGGAAGATGTGACTCACATTTGAGAGCCTGACAGATTAGGTTCCAGATGTTGTCCACACCTCGATAGTTGTGTGCCCTGAGGCAGGTTGCTAAATTTCTATGAACCTGTTTTTATATCTCCATGAAGATGATAATAATACTAACCTTTCTGAGCTGCTCTGAAGATTAAATGAGATTAAGGACTTTAACTGTTCATCACAGTGCCCAGCATGGCAAGCACTGAGAAAATGTAAATTCTTTCTCTGCACCTTGTGTCCAACTAACTATACTTTGTTTTAAGATTCCAAGGAAGAGCTTTCGCCCATGTCTAATTTAAACTATGTCTGTTTGGATAAGATGAAATGGGAAAGTCAAAAGTTTCCCAGGAAATCAATCAGTGTGGACAGCTAAACTAAATAATTCTTGGTAGCATGAATTGGAACTTGTTGTCTGGATACCTCAAACCTGTCACTTAATTTGGTATCATGTCACTCAGCTTGGGGAGTGATTTAGAGGTTGAAATATTTCTTAAATGATGTTGGAAACTATCCAGAAACCTTAAAAATCAAGATTTAGCAGTATAAGCTGGATCAAAATAGAATTCAGTTCTAGAAAGAACTTATTACCTATCAGTGCTGAGGTGACCGACCCACTGAAACCACAGTATACATACTTCTGAAACAATAAATTGTGGCTCAAATGAGCTTATTCACGTAGAAATGAGTGGCTTGATTTATTGCATTTTCTTGTCCAACCAATAGGAACAGTCATTATCTCATGAGTCCAATTTATTAGAATTAACTACATGATTTTTGCTTACCACAATGGCATTTCCATGTGGTCCAACTTAATAGATACTGTTTAATTTTGATGTTTATCCTTCAAAATGGAACTTGATTTACATAGAGAAGGGAGAAAAAAGTAACAGATAGCAATATGACATTATTGCTTAAGAAAATACAAATTTCTATGATATTCCTGACTTAGAATTATGACTATTATTCTTTATGACATCATTTAGAATATTCATTTATGTACATCAATAAGAATAATTTAAGCTTTTTTACAAACATTATAAGATGTTATAAGATATATTAGTGTACATCAAGCACAAAAATATTCAAGGAATATTCTTACCTTATGTACAGAGAAATAATGCATTTCTAATTAATGTGTTTTTATTTCCCTGATTTGCTTAATAGTATAGGTAAAATAAAGAGTTTCTTGTAAACATGTGAGTTTTCATTTTTCCACAAACACAAAAAGAAATTGTCAAATACTTCAAAAACACTCACCAAAAAGATTAATTAGATAAGCCCTGATAAAGCATTGAGGATAAGTCTTCTTGCCCTTATTTAATTAATACAATGGCCCTGTTCCCTCCCCAGATTGGCCCCCACTACACACCAGGGGAAGTATGACCCACTTTGTTTCTTTGTTATGTCCCCTGCTTTGTAGAATGGAATCTCTGCCAAACTTGGGAAGAAGTCTTGAGTGTGGGCCATCAGAGCATGGAGAACACTCAGCACTCACCTCAGCTCAGTGCCACTACCTCCTTACCCATCTCCATCTCAGGGGTGCAAGCAACTTTTACCCTGGGCATAAGCCATGCTGCAGCAGCAAAATGCCATGGGGGGCACATCCCTTTTCAGTGCACACATGTACTTCTTCAAAACCAGAGCAAAGCCAAAATATTGTCTCCACTTTCAGAGATGAAATATCCCCTCTCCCCACTAACTCTGTGACTGTGCGATAAGTTACATTTGCCTGTACTGATGTTGAAACCTCCATGTACTCAATCTGAGGGTCATACTTACTTGAACGATCGAAAGTATCATCAAACACAACCCTGCAGGTTTTCCCATTGTTGAGGATGGTCTTGCAAGAGCCAGGGTCATAAGAAACTGACCATGGCAGCAGAGAAGGGTCATACTTAATGTCCTTAGTATGCAGCTCGATGGGTGACTGATTATCTCCCTTGGCATTTGGGTAAAGCTCATGCCAGTGGTCAGGACCTATGACATCAAGTTGAGGGGATTTATTAATTCAGTAGCACAATCCAAAATCATTTGCTAGTTGATTAAACCTGCAGTGAGTATACAAGTTTTTGGATTTCAGATGGGGCAACCCAAGGTTTGGAGTGTGAGACAAGTGTGTTACTAGTATACCTGAAGACTCTAACTCCTTGCCTTCCCTCTGCTTGCTCAAGAATACAGTCTCAAAAAGCTTCTTTTTGAAATGGACTTCACCCCTACTTTGACCAAATCCATCTTCTGTCATCCAGCTGAAAGAAAAGTACTGACCACAGGTGGTTTTCAGAGCATTACCTTGTGGCAGATGGGTATTATCCTATGTGGGCATTATCTCTGCTGCAGGCAGAGAAGGGGCTCCTACACCTGCACCAGACTCGGAGAGGTGAGGGCCCCTCCAATGCCAGGAATTTTAGGGACACTCAGAACTGGACCTGTGATGATTGACTTCTCAGAGGATGTGTGCTCTTGTCAGTTACCCAGCCTCTGTGAGCCTAGTTCTCTCTTAAAGTAATAGCAACTCTACACTAGGGAGAACTTCCAAGACAAAAGGAAGGAAGGGTCTGCGGCTTTGGCACTGGGTAAGTGTGCTGTGAAAGTCCAATCCAAACCCTTCCCCCACGGTGTTTTCTGTAGTTGTCCACTCTCTGTGCAATGCAGTGCGCCTCAGGCACGTCGGGGACTCACCATTGTGGCTGGCGTAGCCCCACTCCTTGGCCATGATCGTCCTCTTGCCGGGCGGCTCCTGCCTGCTCTGCGGAGTCCCCGCACGAGCAGCGCCTTTTATACAAGTCTCCACACCCCCTCATGGCCTTATTAGGTTAGTGTGGGGGCAGGAGGCTAAACTGGTTGGAGTGATATTCTGGAGGCGGTGTCGGGGAGGCCATTGAATGACAAAGGCTAGACAGCTGTCTGGTGGGGTGGGTGGAGGTCCCGAATGCCACTTCCCTCCTGACTCGTCCCCTGGATCTGTGATGCCTTTTGCCTGGTCCCCCATGTCCCCCGTTGCATTACTTTTTGGGGAGGGACAGAGTGTCATCGCCATGCTTAGCCTTCACTTAAGACCCCCGGGGGCGCTGAGGGCTACCCTGGAAGTAGCTGCGCGTTCCCCCTACCCTGTGAAGCCTGCTGGAAGGAATAGGCTTGCCTGGCGGGTGCGAGCCTCCCGTGCAGGCGACTTGGAAAGTTCTAGGAACACTGATGGGAGGGAGGGTTGGTAGGGCAGGTCCCCAACTCTGTTATCCTTGGAGTCTGAGGACAGAGGCCTGTCCTGGAGCTGCAGCAGGTGGCGTTCCTGCTCAGACTCAGGATCCTCTTGGCCAGGACACGGGCGGGGCCGGGAACCCGGTGAATTCAGAGCAGGAGCCTGCAGCTGTGACCCCCACTCCCTGAGCAGCTCCTCTGCTCACAAAGTCATAATATTCTGCAATGTGAACGGCTAGGACATAAAGCGAGTCTGTGGTGTAAAACGAATGACCTCACTCTCCAAGACATATTGAAAAATTGGGAGAAAAATCTAAGTGGAAGGTTTTCAGATTGCTTTGATTTTTTTCCCTCCATCTCCCAAGTTATTAATTCATTAATTCAATCGTTCATTCATTCATTCATTTATTTGTTTATTTATTTATTTATTTATTTATTTATTTATTTATTTTAATGTGATGAACCAGGCGAAAGGAGAGAGCTGGCCGATGCACAGCTGCATGCCAGAAATGTATTTTCAAAGAAGTCAGTGTAGTAGCTATTTATATGCTAAATTTCTTCTTGGTTGTAAACCACCAATAATTTTAAAAAGACAGCAAGAAAAAACAAACAATGTCAGTGCTTTCTTGAACAAGGTTGCAGTCTACATATCCTTATTTACTCTGACTTTTATTGATGTTGATATTTTGTATTTGGGAATTACAAAGGTTGAAAAGGAATTCTCTCATCATGGTACAAGCTAGCTCATCTCCAAGGCATGTGGAATGATTGAGCACACTCATAACCTGGACACCAGGGGAGTCACACCCCAGGGTATTTTTGTGATGCGGGTTATTTGATCCACACAATAGTTGTGTGGAATCAAGAACTAGATAGTTTGGAAAATTCAGGCAAACACAGCAAAGCAAATGTCCTTAGACTCTGAGCCCTCAAATGTCAGGGTTGGAATAGAAAGTCTGTTCAGTTGGCCTGTCCAGGCCCATTTTCTGCTTTTGCTGTGATAATGTGATGTGCAGTCTGTGTTTGATAAACATGTTTTATATTTCTTACTGAGGGTATAATTATGTGTATCAGCAAAATATGATCCTGTTCCAACTCATTAAATTGTTATACTCTTTCTTTTTCTGATATGTATGGTTAAAATATAATTTCATGTTATTTAATATAGATAAAGAGTTTAATAAATTTTTTTCTTTCTTTTTTTAATATTAAATTTTATTTAGTTACTTTTCAAGTACATTTTTTTGAGTTTAATAAATTTTTATACCAAGAAGAGCCAATAACCTAGGAATTTATCACAGTGTTACTGTTCAGGCATAGAAGACTTGAACAATGGACAATGGTACATAATTTCAAATGAACAATGGGTAATATTTGCAAAATTAAATATTTAATAGTTTTACATGTGCTATCTTAAAATCGTTGGTGTTTTCATTGTACTTTCTCATAAAAAGTTAATAAAATTTGAACTTTAGATCAAAACATGTCATTTCAGATCACAATACACTTTTCAGAAACCACAAATTTATCATCTACCTCTTAATTGATTTACTTCAGCATATTTATCAATAAATTTCAAAATGCCCAGTCAACAGAGTAGAGATAAATTCTACCTAAGACATTAAGATCTCTGGAGTGGCTTAAACAAGAAAACCATTAGGTATACATTGAGATAAATAATGCCAGCAAAATAACTAGGAATGCTTAACCACAAGTGATTTCCAAGCATCCTAACAGCACTTCTCCCAGCATGGTTAATGGAAAGTTGACATTATTTGTAGAATTTTTCCCCCAAAATGAATATATCCATACAGAGGCGGGGAGAGAAAGAGAGAGTTGAATATAAAAAGGGCAACCCAAGAGAGTAATTTGGGTAAACAGAAGTTTGGGGGTAAGGGTGTCTGTTTGTGGAAGTTTCAACTAGGTTGTATGTTAAAAATACAGAAGATCTAAGATGATAAAATTTAAATATATTTTTACTCTTAATTTGGCATTTTATTTTGTAAAATACTGGATAATATAACTGAGCTAAATCTGCAAGTTTATATCATTTGGTGCTTCTACAGCACCAGAGGAAAAAAAAAGGAGAAATTGCCTCTTTATTCACCCCTGCAATCAAAGCATAAATTTGAAATAATTGCATAATTGTGTTTAAATATTTTATATGCTATAGAAGCATATATTTTTACTACATTTTTATTTTTATAGAACAAATTTTAAGATAGAAATATAAAAACAAATATAAAATAAAATTTAATAAATACAATATTAAAATATAAATATTAAATCAAAGAAATGTGATAAAAATGAAATAAAACCAATAAAATCAAATCTAATCAAAATCAAAATTTTAAATTAATTTATTTCACAGTCATACATAATATAACATTTACATTCTTCCTTGAAAATATCATTTTTTTCTTCCCCCACCCCCAAAAGAATTATTTTCAGAAAGTTTGGCTCACCATTTTATAAGTGAATATAACAGGCTCGGTTCTCAAGTTTGACACCAGTGACAGCTGAGCTACTTGGATGAGACCTTAAAATTTGGCTCTTGTTCATGGCAAATATGTCAGTAAGCAGCCTGTAGCCTTGTCCCAACTGGTGTCTCCAACTATATGCATCCATATGAGATAGTCACTTTACTTGAGGGTGAGAGTATGAATGTAAGTGTGAGAGCCTCCTATTTATACAATAAGATGTGATCATCGAGGTTCATAAGTTCAAACTCTTAACAAACACAAACTCTTCTTATAAAATATAGTAATTGTTCCCTGGATGGTATGGCTCAGTGGACTGAGCTCCCAACTGTGAACCAAAGGGTCAATTCTCAGTCAGGACGCATGTCTGGGTTTCAGGCCAAGTCCCCAGTAGGGGGGTATGTGAGAGGCAACCACACATTGATGTTTCTCTCCCTTCCTTCCCCACTTTCTAAAAGTAAGTAAATAAAATATTTTTAAAACATAAAATATAGTAATTGCAAGATAAACAGAGGAAAATTCATTAGTTAAACTTCATGATACTTTTGCTTAAGATCAAATTTAGATTGCCAAGTCCAGTTTTCAATAACTTAAGAATAGTTTTTGGCTGTAAAATTAACAAGTGGGATTGTGTTTTGTTTTGACATTTCATAGCACATAGATGGCCATGTGCCCAAATTTATCTTTGGTGTCAGACATGTCCTCTGAGAAATAGCAAGAGTGATGCCTGACTTCCAGGGGTCTGTGTGGCTTACATGAGATCATGCAGCAAAGCTTCAGCACAGTGCAGATAGTATGTTTGTCATTCCACAACTTAGTACCTTCTTTGATCTTGTTCATTTTCTCCAGTGTCTCTCCAGGAAGTCACCTACCCTAACTTACCCTCAATCCTTGTCTATTGCAAGCAGTGCCTCTGGCTGCACACAGCAGAGCCCAGGCTGACCTGCAGACAGCTTTTCTGTGGAAGATTCAGCTCTCAACTTTCCTGACACCACTGGGCTGCTGCTCACCAAAGCCAGGATCCTTCACACAGTGGGTGTGCAAGTTAACTTTTTAACCAAGTGTGACCAATTCCAAACGAAATGTATTCATCTTATGTAAGAAAATTAACTGTGATAAGAATTTTTTAAAATATTCCAACAAGGCCTAATATTTCTCTGGTATATTATTTGACAAAAAGTTATTAAAATGAAATTCAGCTCCTCTAAATGGCATTCAGGAGTCTTCAGATGCCTGCTCTACCTGGTTGACAGCCTTCCCCCAACCTTCCTGTCCATACTCATCCATACTTCAGCCCTTTTTTGTGTGTTATTTTAACTTTTTTTTGAAGTGAATTATTTTGTTTTCCTGGGGAAAATCAAGCAGCAACCTCACTTCTATAGAAGCTAGAACAATCTCAAGTCTACTTTCTCCTGTAAAGTATTGCTACCCTGGGCTGATCAGGTGAATTCTCAGAATAATCATAACTGTCCTGGACACTTTACTCAATAATTAGCACCAAATGAGGTAACACATGTGCAAGTACTTGATAACTCACACTTCTCATTTACCATTATCATAACTTTACAAATAGGATAAACTCATTTATCATAACTTTACAAATTTACTTGAATAAATATTTAAGAGTTGGGAGTGTTCAGCAATACAAGGGCTAATTTGCAAAGCATGAACCTGGTAAATCAGAAATCGTGGATTCTTAAAGGCATTAAGAGACACTCGAACCCTGGCTGGTGTGACTAAGTTGATTGGGTGTTGTCCCCCAAAGCCAAAGGTTGCCAGTTCAATTCCTGTCCAGGGCACATGCCTAGGTTTTGGGCTCAGTCCCCAGATGGGGCATGTGTGAGAGTCAGCCAATTGATGCTTGTCTCTCATATTGGTGTTTTGCTCTCTCCCTTTCTCCCTCCCTTCCCCTTTCTCTAAAAATAAATAAATAAAACCCTTAAAAAAGAGAGACAATAGAGATGATTTTTTATCAAATTTCTGAATAACAAACCAGAAAACATATGCATTACTTGAATTTTTATGGCCTTTAATGTCATCCAGTATTTCCTTATTTTTC